CCCCAAAACCCCAAAACCCCAAAACCCCAAAACCCCTTAATATAATATTATTGTTGAAGCTTCAGCAGATTATAAAATATCGATATCTCCCGGAGCTAGTCCGATCTCCTCTCCCTTTAACTGTGGAAGCAACCTCTGGAATTGGTAGTTCATCCTCGGAGGCCCACACACAAATAGCTTGTTGATGCCGTTATTCGCGAACTTGTAGTCTTTGAGGAGTTCGACCAACTCGTCGTCTTCAAGCTTGCTGCCTCCTTCTTGGGTGAAGATCAGGTTCATTTTGAAGATGTGGCCTTTGTTGAACTTCTTGTACAGGTTCTCGATGGCTTCCAAGATTTCGAGGCAGATGGCGTCTTCTCTGGTCGTGAAGTAGGCATACACAACGAACTTGGCTTTCTCTGAAAGATGATAGAAGTCTTCATCAGGGAAGAGAGCGTTAGATGGTGCGTCCTCTGAAAGGATTCTTCTAGCCATGAAAGCGAAGAGGTCCATGAAAGGCAAGATACCAGTCCCTCCTCAGAAAAATAGATTGATGCCTTCAGAGTTCCATTGATCAAGCCCTATTCCATTCCCAACTGGACCATGGATATAGTATTCGTCTCCTTCTACATTATTAAAAACTTGGCTGGATATTCCGGTTTTCGACTGAGGATAGTATTTCATGATTACTTGAAGAGTATCATCATTAGTGGTTCTGTATTCTTCTAGACTCTTGTACTTTCTGTCGTATTTCTCTTCATTTACTGTTCAAGTTATTGCTTTAATATACTCATCGTATATCTGGCTTCCCATACAGTTGCAAATAGTATAATATCTGCTGACGAAATTTTGAAGCGAAGTGATAGACCAACTTTTCCCAGACAATTTCAGGCCAGGATAGAATTTCTTAACATTAGCATCTAAACTCTGGAACATCACTCTGGCAAGGCCTGGAGCAATCTTCTCTTTCTCTTTGATGATGAATGTATAGTCCTGAGTCTGCAGTGGATTCAATATTTCAGATTCTATAAGGAATCAAAACCTGCTCAAACTCGACAATTAAAAATTGTTCTAATCTATTCTGAAAATGCTTACGGTGAGTCGTGATGTTTTTAGAAGAAAGCAAACTCTCTGCTTCTTTTGTTCCACTTAAGTTTATGCCATTACCCCTCTTAGTTTTGGTAAGAATTGGTTTGATTTTTCCAATAATTAGCTTCTCCAGAAGATTTGCTGCATAATTTGAGTGCGTGTATGGAGCAATATCAGGGGACATGGAATACGCACCATATAAGTATTTCCCGATATCTTTCCCAATATTTTCTGAAATAACATATGCTGTGCCTGGGTGTTGATCCTGAAATGAATCGACGTCAATGATAAAGTTATTGAATAAAACGAGTTTTTGGCCATCATTAAGCATCTCGTTAAACTCAAATTCAGAATATTCAGGAACTCCCATCTTTTTGATAACCCCTTTCTTCTTATACTGAAACTTATATCTGTAGATCCCTTCAAGTATTCCAAGCATAAGAACAAATACTGCAAAGTGCAGATATATCAAGTTTGTGACAGGGGATTCATAATTTACCAATCCTGTAGCAACTTGGAGATTAGAAAGAATAATAAGAAGATATCCAACCACTTGATGAACGATTTTCGATCTCTTTCCCCAAATGCTTAGAACTGAGTTAGATCCTGCAACTTGTTTAACTGTCATTCCTCCGAGACACTGTACAACTGACACGACCATGATAGCGATTCCAATTGGCTTATGAGCCACTCTTGCAGAAGAATCAGGGGATCCATACTTTGTTAAAGCAAAAATGATCACTACAACAGTGTTTACCGCAATTAGAAGACCTACAGAAGCATGAATTATCATTCTGAAGTTATAGTAATGCTTCATATATCTTCCAGAAACAATAGAGATAAAGGTCATGATACTCCAGCCAATATACATTAAGATTCCATGAACTTTGAAATAAATATTGCCGTCAGGAATACCTCCATTGAAGTATGCTTTTCCAGTGGAAGGATCTATTGTCATATTAAATAGTCCTCTATTTCCTTTGCCATGGAACTTGTAAGCTTCATCTCTGAATCCATAGACCATAATCATAGGTTTTGTAATATCCATGGTCTCATCCCTTCCCTCTCTTTCAAGCTTGATTGGCCTTTCGAAGGTTAAGCTCCATTGGTTTTCTTCGAGTTCATGCTCAATCAAATTATATACATTCTCTGTGTTATCTACTGGGAGCTTATGTCCTATAGAGAAACAGTCGTGAATGATAGGAGTCTCATCTGATGGAGGAGTAATCCCATCGGCGACCACCATTGGAACATTGAACATATCCTCTCCAAATCCGATACCCACATAATGGTCTGTTGGCATAGAAATATGGATCTGGAAGTAAGTCTTTTCAGTATTAAGATTTGCTGTCATATTGATTTCATCATTAATCATAAATACATCTTCAGCTATTACTCATCTAAACAACATTAAACACATTCGCTCACCCTATTATCAGGAAGGTAACACAAATTGACGATAGTTTCATTAAGTTAGTATATTATTTATTTATTTCAAGGTTGCTTATATTCATAGGGGTTTTGGGGTTTTGGGGTTTTGGGGTTTTGGGGTTTTGGGG